AGGACTAGGACGTGTTGCTTCGCCACTGAGTTGTGGAAGTGGTGGAGGGCCAGATGTATGGCTCTAACCAGTTTATGTTGTATCTCAGATCCTCTTTGGACCATTGGCCTTGTGCCAGTTGTGATTGCAGGTGTGCTCCCCAGCCGAATAGGCTGGCATCCGTGGTCAGAGTGACTCGGTGTGTTCCTTGAACATGTGTCATTTCCCCACCGCTGGAGATGACCACCATTGGAGCGACTTCAGGACCCTTGGTGGCACCTTTACCCTCTGGTTGGAGGAGCTGGTTCCTATTTTCTGAAACGGGAGCAGGAACCATTGCAGGTTTCTGGAGTGTAGTCGTGCCCAGGGTACGATTGCTAGGCATGAGATCATCTTTCCCAGCAGTTGGGAGAGTGTGGCCAGTGTGGTGGCTCGTTTCCTTCGAATCTGACTGACCAGGACTCGAATGCTGTCTTGACGCTCTCGAGAGAGGTAAACCTCGCACTTTTGTGTGTCTATCACAGCTCCCAGATGAAGGAAGCTGTGACAGAACCATTTGACTCTTTTGGAAATTTACTGAGAACCCGTGTTCCTGAAGGGTTCTTAGGGTCAGCGTAAGATCTGACTGTGCCGCTTGAACGGATGAGGATTGAATTAGAATGTCGTCCAGGTAATACTGGATGCGTACGGGGATGGTTCGTAAATGCACGGCAAGTGTCGCCAGTACCTTCGTGAATACTCTGGGGGCCGAAAAAAGTCCAAAGGGCAGGGCCTTGTATTGAAAATGTTGGCCTAAATGGCAGAACCTGAGAAACTTCCGGTGCTTGGGAAGTATGGAAATGTGAAGGTATGCCTCCATGAGATCTATAGAAGTTAGGAGGTTTCCCCTTCTGATGCCTGCTAATATAGACTGGAGAGTCTGCATTTTGAACTTTCTGTATGCCAAATGATTGTTCAGACTTTTTAGGTCTAGAATTGCTCTCCATCCCTCCGAATTTTTTGGGATTAGAAATAAGATGGAGTAGAATCCCTGTCCCTGTTGTCCCCTCTGCACCGGTTCTATAGCCTGGATATCCAGGAGGTGCCGGATGGGCCCGTGATGAGGCTCCGTTTGACTGGATCCTTGGGTGATGGGCAAGGGACAAAGTGGTTTGGGGGCTTGGAGATGAATTCCAGTGATAGGCCGAATCTGACAGTATTTAGGACCCAAAGGTCCATGGTGGTGGCCTGCCATCTGTGTGTGAATAGGACCAGCCTGCCACCAATGGAGGAGTCCTCCCCGCTGTCACTTGGATTTGCAAAAGGGGCGGCCCCCCGCTCCTTGAAAGGGCCGCTTCGACTGAAATTGTTGTCTAAGTCTGTCCCTGTTACCGGCTCTGCCGAATTGTCGATCAGATCTGGGTTGATAGGAACGGGAAACTGGAGGCTCTGGGCCTGCTTCTGCTTGGAAGGACTGTCTGCGAGGGAATGAGGAGACTTTCCTCTCCGTCCTCTTTGAGAGGTGGCCCAGGACCTTGAGTTTGTTCTCTATCAGATAAGGGTCGAGGGCCTCTCCAAAGAGTAGGCCACCCTTGTAGGGTGCAGCCGCCACTTTGCCTTGATGTCGGCTCGCCATTGTCTGAGCCATAGTAATCTGTGTACTGCAGTGTTTGACGCTATCGCCCTGGCAGAGTAATTTGCGGTGTGTAGTGATGAATCTGCCATGAATTCCGCTGCAGCCACTAACCTTCTTAGGTCATGGTGTGTTCTCTCCTCCTCTGGGGGAATCCTGGCCTGGAGTTGGCGCAGCCAGAGCAATGAGGTCCCAGCAAAAAAGGAGTTAGATATGGCTCCCTTGATTGCTCACGCTGAGGCCTGGTGTGTTCTGCAGAAGGTGAGTTCCGCTTTCCTGTCCTCTGACTTCAGGGCCTCCGCCGCATCCCCGGAAACCATGGATGGCGAGAATAGAGCCACTAGTGGCTCATCTATTGTCGGGACCTCTATTACCTCCGATAATGCTGGGTCTATGTTGAACAGTTTCTTATCTGTCCCACCCATTGGGGGAAAGGAACCCGGTGCCCTCCATTTTTTTGCATTGTATCAAAGAAGAGAGGAGGGCAAGGGATATATTGTTATGTGTAGGTGGGTTGTGAAAACACCCTGCTGTTTGTGTCATGGCATGCTGAGGGTCCCTCCTGGGGAAGCCTTGGCCTCTTCACCTTTGCGGTACTACTTGCCTTGTGGAGCAGGGATTTGAATAAGGTCGGATTAAAGAGGCCTATGAATGGTGGAGGGTTGGGGGATATATTGTCATCCTCTGACAGTGGCTGGTCCGTTTGTTCATAGTCCCCCGTGGGGGACCTTCTGCTTCTGGAAGAACGAGATGGTGACATCGATTCCCGGTAGTCCATGGCCTCCTCTTGGGAGAGGTAGGACCGACCCCTTGAAACGATAGACCCGGCTCTGGGCCTATGATGCCTTGTAGCAGCAATGCCCTGAGCGACGGCCTGAGATATCAGGGATTGTAAATGCTCTGATGATAAGGCTCCCTGATTGTCTGAGGGACGAGGCCCTGCTACTGAGTATGCATCAGGAACCCCCGGGCTCTCAGGCCCATCGCTTAAGGGGGATCTTTCTGCCTGATCTGCATCAGCCTCTGTTTCCAGAGGTTTCTGACTGGGCTGCAATGGGCCAAATATTTCGTCCTCTGTGTAAGCAGGTGGGACAAGTCCATTTTCTGCTGTGTTTTGTCTCTTCTCGGCTCTAGAAAATTGTTTTTCCAGGGCCTGGTGCTGACGTTTGGCCTCATCAGCTGTCTTGGAGGATCTTTTGCCAGATATTGCCTTGGCCTTGATCCTGCCAGCTGCTTCCTGGTTAGATGATCTTGGCCTCTTGCATCCTGGAGGACTGACAGAGGAATCCTGTGTTGTCTGCGCAGCAATGGTGTCTGCCATTGGCACCAGAGATATCTCAGCCCTGAGACTGAGAGGGATCTCATGGTAAAAGGTCTGACAACAGGTCGGCTTGTTAAAGAGTGACCTGGCAAGGACTGGAAATAGTCCAGGTGATGTCCAAATTAATGGTACAGTCCAAGGTGGAGAAGTCAGTTAGTGGTATAGTCACACCCTGTGCTCCACTTGATCCAATCACTGTTGTGCTGTAGGTAGCGGCGAGATCAAATTAATGATATGACCCACACCTGAATTTTGGGCAAACACTTGACTCCACCTCTTCTCTGTCTCTCCTTTTTTTTTTTATGATAAATGAGTCTTGTCGGATAGGCGGCTCAGTGGGAACAGTAAATATTATTAATCTGTTCTAGGAAGGACTGCAATGGGGGTGGCCAAAGCTGCGCAGGGTCAGAGCCGGTAGGCGAAGACATGGTGGGGGGGAGGGGGCCTGGATTTGGGTTGCTCTCTCTCCGCCGCGTGGTGAGGCCAGAGAGGGGAACATGGCTCGCGCTGTTTCCCTTCCTTTCTCCCCCCTCCCAGTTCGCAGCTTCTCCAACTTTCCCTGGTTAAAATTGGAGAAAAAGAGGAATAATTCTCTAAGAGCCGTCTGAATCGCTTTGGTGTGAGCTGATTAGCTGGTAGCACTGAGTTTCGCAGCTCGAAAAATGGCCGCCGCAAGCTTGCTCTGGCAAACGCTGCCGCTTGGAACTGTCTCCAGCGGCTGGCCTGAATAAGGTTGAAATCGGGGGAAAAAACAGCTGTTTCGCGGATAGTGTTAAGCGGGCTTACTTTCTACTAGGAAGAGGAGATTACTCCCTTCGCTTGAGAGACCATGCAGCACCAAAATGGTGATCGGCTCTTTGTTGTCTCTCCGACAATCAGCTGAGGCTAACCGACAAACAGCTTAGTATTCGGCTTCTCTGCGATCGGCTGGGACGACAAATGAACAGTCATTCGTTTTGCACCCCCCTTTCTTGGGAAAAAAAGGGCAAGAAATTGTAAAATACGACCTGATCTTGGAGCCAAGTTGAGTGTGTCCTCTTGGGCTAAAGACTAAGTCGAGACTGGGGGAGGTCCCAGAAAGAGGGGCGTGGCAATTTGGCTGACTTAGTCTATACGGGTAGAAGACAAGCAAAACCCATTGGTGGATTCTCCACTCGTCATGCTGGAGAAAACAGAGATCAATCCAGGGGTCCTCCTTACCCCTCTCATCCCACCATCAAATCACTAACAACTTTCCATCATCAACTACCTAAAGGAAAAATCGTAACTCACCTTGTGAACTACTTTCTAAAGTTACAGTATGTTTAATAAATAAGCTAGAAATTTGTTTGGACAGGAGTTAAATATAAAAAACTTCTGTAAAGAATGTGCATATACACATAAATATTTGCATATACACTTAAATATTTATCTATCTTTGGATTAAGACCTGAATTTAGAAACTCTGAATAAAGATGTCAAAACATCCTTGTTGACAAAAACAACATTCTAATAAAAAAGTTATAATTTACTCATTTATTGATTCCTTCCACATTTTAGAAGAGTAGGAGAACCAGAGTGGAGCTGTGTAACCTACCCATGTTACTACTGAAGCAAGAAAACCAGTAAACCCCATATCACAAATACGTAACACATGAATAAATGATTTAGTTATACCCTAAGAAATTTATCTTGCATATCTGTCCCCTAAAAATTTCTAGATGAGACCTAAGCTTTTCTAAAATAAATTATTTTTTTTAAAAAATGATTTTTTTAAGTTGGATCCATAAAGAATCATGGAGCAAGCTCTGATATTTAATTATAGTTATTGATCATCACATATGCCAAGGGCATTTCACTCTGAATCTAAAATGTATTTTACTATACTCTGAAGTTCTTTAAAATATCTTATAATGCTTGTCCTTTGCCACTGTTATACTTTCTTTTGATATTATATACTGCATATGTTGCTTCTTCAAAACAGATAAGATTACATTGTTTTCTTCTGTTGCATATTCTGTTATGAAATATTGTGAACATATTGTCAAAAAACAGTAATATATACATAAATACAGTACATTGTCTATTGAAAAATAATGATTTATTTACCACATAAAGCTGTTTCCACATTGTCCCCCAGTCTCTTAAGGTGGATGTCATCTCTGTGATAACAGAATCTTCTGCTGCAATAATAATTTCAAACTGCCTATTAAAATCAGAAGAAAAAATGTCAAACAAAAATCCAAAGTAACATTACTTTTGTTCAATTTAAAAAAAGTTGCTTTGGTAATTGAGTGTGGAATTTCTTGCAATTAGCCAATTAACAGAGTCATCAACAAATATTTAGAGTGCCTTGAAGAGACTACTACACGATAACTGAGGAGCAAGTACTCACTACATTCAGTACATCAATAGCATACAGCCATTTGGGGCCAAGAGCCTTACAAATGGAATGCTCAAAAAAGTAATGGGATCAGGTTAAAAAAAATAACATTTGACAATTAAAATATAATGATGTAATTTCATTAAATACAGATATTTCCATATGCTTAATTATTTTTCACATTAAATATGATATTGCCTCTCCATCAGGAATGCTATAAGATACCAAAGCCTTTTCCTTATCTTTTGCTAAAATTCTGGGCTTTCGAATTTCCACTTACCCTTTGTTCTTAACACATGCATTTTTCAAGTGAACAAAACCGGATGGGAAGATACCCTGAAAAAAAGAAGTTAAATAAATGTAATAAACCATCAAGAGTGCTTTGAACATGTATTTTTAAAAAGTCAATAATTTCAAGACAGCAAAAATTGTGTATTTTTATATATTCAGACAGTCCATGATATATGAAATGTGCCTAGATAAACTTCTTGAAAGCAATTATACATTTGCTTTTGGTTGTTGTTGTAAGGAAGGAACAAATGATGTCTGAGAATGTGATCAGTAAAATTTTCAAGCTTAACGTTGAAGCAATAGCAACTCTTAAGTACCACAGAACAGAAGTTCTCATTTGCAGCTTAAGCACTGCTCATAAAGCTGGAAAAAAAATCTAGAATCTTTTTTGGTTCTGAAAGCCTTTTCTCACAGCTATTTGTAATCTGCTATCCCAAATACCTTGCAACTATTTACTGCAATAAGTTACTTTTTTCCAGACTTAACACTTTCCTCTCCTTTCCCCTTGTTCCCTAGAGATAACATCTGCAATAGCTGATGCCACTTCCCCTCACTCAATATTGAATTGTATTATACTATTATTGTATGGGTGGAGTTACAGCTAGATAAAAAGATTGCTTAAATTCCACTCCCTATCCTTTAGTGGGTTTGTCTCCTCAGATGTGAGATTTGATTATAATCTTATTTCACCCATTTTAAAAAAAAACTTTAAAAGTGAGTGGGCACCTTTTAGTGATACCTAGAGTTCCATGCATCCATTTGAGGGCATATCACCAACCCCACTTTAACTTAAGGGTAAACAACAGATGAGACTGGAACCCACAACTTTATAAAATCAGGCTTCCAAGCAAGGGAATGATGGAGGTGTAGCGACCTCACCAATAGTAAAAAGGATGAAATTTTCTACTTTGGGTGGGTAATAGGTTATTCAAAATATGTACTTTAAGATTTAATGACTTAGCCTTATTTGAGCTTTATTTTGAAAAGCAGGGACATTAAAAATTGCACTACAGAAGGGGTGTTGTCTTACCTGAACGCCTTTTCTCAGCATGGGGACATAGAATCCACCAATGGGTTAACTCTGCCTTCCTGCCCAATAGACCGGGTCAGCTAATTTGTCACGCCCGTCCTAGGGTAGCCACTCCCCCATTCTTGACGAAGGCAAAGCAGCTGACTACACTTCGACGTGATGGCTCCCGGTTTCCTAATATGATCTTTAATGATTTTAAGGGTGGGAATGGATTCTACATCTCCGTGCTGAGAAAAGGCGTTCAGGTAAGACAACGCCCCTTCTCCAGCACTGGAGACATAGAATCCACCAATGGGACATACCAAAGCCTCACTGTCCCAATGGGTGGGAAGCAGAAGAGGACGAAGTTGTGTTTGTGGAGATTACCTGTTGCAGGACCCTCCTTCCGAAGGAGCCGTCCGCGGAGGCGAAACGGTCTATCTTGTAATGTCGGATGAAAGGGGAGGGTGAAGACCATGTCACCGCCCTGCAAACCTCCTCAATAGAGGCCTGTGTGGCCCACGCCGCAGAGGTCGCAGCGCTGCGAGTAGAATGCACTGTGATTTGTCCTGGTGTTGGTAGAGAAAGCGATTGATACGCTTCCGCAATACACAGTCTGATCCACCTGCCTATGGTTGAGGTGGACACCTTCTGTCCACCGAGGTGTGGTGAAACGAAACGAAGAGAGCTTCTGACTTGCGTAAGGGTGCCGTTCGCCTGATATAATGTCGTAGTGCCCTCCGGACATCCAGTGTGTGCCACTGTTGTTCCAGGGAATGAGACGGGTTGGCACAGAAGTCCGGTAGGATGATTTCTTGAGCTCTATGGAACAGGGTGTTAACCTTGGGGATAAAGGTTGGGTCCAATTGGAGGACCACCCGGTCCCGATGGAAGGTGCAGAGGTCCTCCCTGACTGACAGGGCCGCAAGCTTGGAAATGCGCCTGGCCGAGGTTATGGCGACCAGAAAGGTAACTTTGAGGGATAGGGCCTTCAGAGTGCAAGACTTGATGGGTTCGAATGGTGCCTTGGTGAGAGCCCGAAGGACCCGTGGTAGTTCCCATGAGGGATACCTGTGCACCACAGGTGGTTTTGCATGGGATGCACCCTTTAGGAAGGCGCGAATCCTGGGGTGCTGTGCCAGGGGAACTGCATTGGTGCAGGTGAGTAGAGTGGATAACGCTGCTACCTGCCTGCGAATGGTATTCAGTGTTAGGCCCCTGTCCAGGCCGTCAAGCAAGTATTCTAGTATGTTTGGAACTGTTAGGCCTGAGACATCGAATGTTCACGTCTCGCACCAGTTGCAGAAATTTCTCCATGTGGACTCATAAATGCGGTTGGTTGCTGGTCAGTGGGATGCATGGATCATGGAGATTACTCTTGGCAGGTACGACTCCCTGCTCAAGATTTGGCGTTCAAGTGCCAGGCGGTTAACTGAAGCCATTGGGGTTCTGGGTGTTGTAGATCCCCCTGGTTGAGTGACACCTGGTCCGGGGGTATTCTCCATGGAGGGGACCCGGAGAGATTCACCAGGTCCGTGAACCACGGTCTTCGTGGCCAGTATGGGGCTATGAGTATGATCTCTGCCCATTCCTACAATGTCTTGCGGATGGTTGCCGGGATCAGCGGAAGAGGAGGAAACGCGTAAAGTAGCCCCCTTGGCCATGGGCAACGTAGGGAGTCTGTTTCCTCCGCCCCCGACGATGGGAACCTTGAGAAGAACCTTGGAAGTTGGGCATTTGTCGGTGATGCAAACAGGTCTACAACTGGTCGCCCGAACCTCTGTGTTATCTCTGCGAATAGGTCCGGGTGCAGACTCCATTCGGCGTGATCCACAGTCGACCTGCTTAGGAAGTCCGCTTGTCTGTTTGCCTCCCCCGAGATATGCTCGGCCCTGATGGAGGCGAGGTTTTCCTCCGCCCAGTCTCCCAGTGCTTGGGCCTTTGTCATGAGAGACCTGGATTGGGTTCACCCCTGCCTGTTCACGTGTGCCTTTGCGGACATGTTGTCTGTGAGGACTAGTATGTGTTGTCCCGCTACTCTGTTGTGTAAGTGTTGGAGAGCTAGATGTATGGCCCTTAACTCCAACCAGTTGATGTTGTGTTCTAGGTCCTTCCGGAACCATTGGACCTGCACCCACAGGGACTGCACGTGTGCCCCCCAGCCAAAGAGGCTGGCGTACGTCGTAAGTGTGAGACGGTCGGGTTCCTTGAAGTGTGACCCTCTGGCTAGTGCTGGCGATGACCACCACTTGAGGGACCGTAATGTTTCTGGAGGGACCCTTACCCTTCTGTTGGAGGAGCTGAGTTTCCGCCTCTGGAATGGGAGGAGGAACCATTGAAGATTCCTGGAATGTAGTCTCGCCCAGGGCACTATTGCTATGCATGATACCATCTTCCCCAGCAGTTGGGAGAGTACGAACAAGGACTAGGGACTGCGTACTCTGAGGACTAGGGAACGTATGCTGTCACGACATTCCTGTGACAGGTAGACATGCCCCCTGAGTGTGTCTATGATTGCGCCTAGGTGTAATATGCGGGTGGCTGGGCAGGTCTGACTCTTTTGAAAGTTGACCGAGAATTTGTGCTCCTGGAGGACTCTGATTGTCAACGCTAGGTCCGATTGTGCTACCTGTGGGGACGGTGATTGGATGAGAATGTCGTCCAGGTAGCACTGGACGTGCACCGGCATCATTCGCAGGTGCGCGGCCAGTACTGCCAGCATCTTGATGAAGACTCTTGGGGCTGACGAGAGGCCGAACAGTAGTGCCCTGTACTGGAAGTGGTGTCCTGCATAGCAGAACCTGAGGAACCGTCAATGACTGTGGGCAATGGGGATGTGGAGGTACGCTTCCGTGAGATCTATGGATGACAGGAGGTCACCGTGTCATATGCTGCCCAAGATGGAGTGGAGGGTTTGCATTTTGAACTTTCGATGGGCGATATGATGGTTCAGACCCTTGAGGTCTAGGATTGTCCTCCATCCCCCCGAGGACTTGGGAACCACGAATAAAATGGAGTAGAATCCCCGTCCCCGGTTTCCCACTGGAACCTGTTCTATGGCTTTTATTTCAAGGAGGTGTCGAATGGCCTCTCGCATGAGATTGCTTTTGGTGGGGTTCCTTGGTTGAGGACAATACATGAAGAATAATATTAGGCAAATTGTAAATCTACTGGAATATTTGGACAAGAATAATCAAACATCTTCGGCTTTTATCTTTCTTGATGCGGAGAAGGCCTTTGATAAATTGGAATGGCAGTTTTTAAACAAAATGTTGGATTATATGAACTTTGGAGATCAATTTAAAACAGCCATAAAGGCGATATATCAAAAA